TACTGTTCTCACAAGAGAAAATGAAAACAATGAATTACTTGAAGCACTACTATCGTTATTGGATATCAACAATGTCGACGCTGATTGCTATCACAACAAAAGTTCCACTTAGCACGTCACTGGGGATCACCATTACTTCAAAAATTTAGAATCATATACCGGTAACATCAAAATGGCAGGTGGACAGAGTCACCCAATTATTGGAAAAGGCAGTGTGAAATTCAGTCTTCTATCTAGTGCAATAAAAGAGATACCAAATATATTGGATGTTCCTGGACTGAAGAAGAATTTGTTATCCATTGGCTCATTCATAGATAATGGGATCAATACATGTTTCAATGATAAATAAATGTGTATTATACAACAAAGGACACAACGAGGTCATGGCCGAAGAAGTTTGAAACAACATCAACGAGTTATATCAGTTTACATCTTACCACAAATCCACCTCCGTAAACTTAGCACAAATCGATCTTCACAAGGTAAAATTAAGGTATTATAGACTAGGCACATTAATTTTTCTCTACTGCATGATCTGGCTGCACATAACATGGCTGCAGGTATCCCATATTTACTTGTCCACCAAGAGATATGCACTCACTACCAACATGGCAAGCAAGCATGCACAAGTCTCCTATGGAAAAGTGAAACAAGAGCCCAAGAAACATTAGAACTGATTCATATCAACATTTGTGGGCCCTTTCCCACAACGTCTCTCAAAGGCTCAAACTACATCCTGGTCATAGTCGATGACCACAGCCGTTTTACTTGGGTGTCGAATTCACGTGCTGCTTTGCTAGAATCCTATTCTCACAAAGAACCTACGCCACCCAGATATTGAAGGAGTTCGGTATGCAGGATTACACTCCATCCTCTACACTGATGACAGAAGGGCTTAACCGCAACAGGGAGCATGACTCACCACAAGTGGATGCGAGGCGATTTCAAAAGCTTGTAAGAATGCTCATTTACTTGGTAAACATAAAACCCAAAATTACTTTTGCCACTGGAGTACTCAGTAGATTCATGCATGACCCTTGAGTTCCGCATCTGCAAGCTGCAAATCGAATTCTTCAATACACAAATGGCACACTAGAACTTGGAACCTTCTATGAACAAAACCAGAACTCAACTATTCTAGGCTTCACAGATTTTGACTGGGCTAATTGTAAAGTCAACAGAAAATAAGTCACCGGCTGGGTATTCAAAATCAGCAAGGAGACCGATCTCGTGGGCATCTAAAAAGCAACACAACATTGCAATTTTATCTATAGATGCGGAGGCACGAGCACTGGCAGAAGGAATCCGTGAAGCCATCTAGCTTTAAACTCTAGCTTCCAGAATTCATGGAACGGATGAAGAACCCATATTCATCTTCTGCAACAATCAAAGCACTCTCAAATCTCCTCGCAATCCAGTACGTCATGACAGGTCCAAACACAATAAGATGTAGTTATATTACATATTGGAACATGCACTCATTGGAACAGTAGACCTTTTTTACTTATCAACTCATGACAAGATTGCAAATATCTTCATCAAAGCCATCGGTAAGAATAGATTCTTGAAACTTAGGAGTGAAATGGGAGTAAGAAACTTAGCTTTATTATCAGAAACCTAATGCAAACCAGCCTAGCAGAAACCCTAGAAAAACTAGTTTCCAATCACAAAACGTTCAGCTTCCTCCATTGTCATGAAACTCTTATTGATTGCACCCCGAAATCTAGTCACATGTTTCTCGCAATCCGACCACCTGTAGTATACTCCAGGGCAACGTCCATTGCAAACGGCGTAGAAATGTGATCATCAGCCAGCAGCATCAGACCCGTCTCTAAAAGAAACTAACTCCTCCAATTGAATCACATCAAAATCCTTGTTGTTCACCGAAAGACACAGCAATACAAGAAAATTATCTAGACACCAACCAAGAATTTGATGAATAGCTGCCAGAAGAAAACAGAAGCTCAACACAAGCATCTGAATCTGCAAGGATATCGAAGGATGTTCATAAATCTCTTCCATCAAGGTAAAATACTCAAAACAGCTTGGACATTCTCGCCCTAAAAATCACAGTGATAAACTCACCAGCGAATAAGTTCGGACATCGCGAGGACCAAAATTTACCCGACCACGCATTCTCCTTCAACTTATGGAACCTGAAACACTCCGATCTCACCAACACAACGTAGTACAATTTATCGAAGACTCTAAGTGTGGGGGTGTTGAAGACATTCACTTTGAGTCTTCTGGACTCTGTCAAGTTAAGGACTTAGATGAATATCCGTTCACTGCTCAAGACCACTGCTCAAGACTAGTCTTTGTACCTATCCCGTAACTTGGAATAAACATTGGGTGTTATTATCACTTCGTTGGTGCTGGCGTATATGTATGTATCAGGTTCAGCGACTTACATCCAGGGACCCATATTGGTGTCAGAGTCGATTCTCTCAGTATCATTGTTTATTCCACAAGCCATTGGTAAAATTGAATGCCAAACGATTAGAAACCCCGGTCATTTTTATGTAGGACAGGGGAAGCGGCGTTCCAAATATTCTCTCGCACTCCCTGAGACTTTCATGCAGCTTGGTGATATTCTGGTTTATGAGGTGTTTCCTGGTTTCTTCCATTTTGGAGTTGTGCACAATCTTGGATGTGATCTGTAAGTCGTAAATGCATCGATCGGAGCCCTCACTAAAGCTTCCAGCTCTTCTTTCTCCAACAATGTGGACAAATCCAATCTGATATTGGCGTCCTCCGCCATAGCACTCTTCACGTATATGGAAACGTCGCAGCGTAGCTCTAGAAGCTCTGGAGCTTTTGTGCATCATCTGAATGCCGCATCCACGTCGAGAATTGCCTCACTATGTCTCTAGTTCTATTCTCTGCTACTCCCCACGCCTTTCGAGCTTCATCGAACCTTGTATAGGAACACAAGGCACAAAGAAAAGGCAAGTGTAGGTGAGGGACAGTGGAAGAGGCGACCAGTAAAACACTGGCATCCACGAAAGCATCCTCTGCGCTGTGACTGCCTCATTATAGCCCACGATAAGCGTCGCTACGGAAGTCAATGAAAGCACTGGAGTGCCTAGAGCACGAATCACTCTCGTGGAAGGCTTGGACGCTAAATGTCCTATATATCTCCAACCACTACGATGTCGTCTCCAGTCAGCGTGGTCGTAAACTGTTCTATATTTCATTGCATTCTCTTTTTCCAGGTCTACATCTGTAATGTTTGAATTGAAGTGGCTTACGTTTCTCACTAGACAAGGCTTATAGAGGTCTCTTTCAACTGGTTGCAGACGCATCCCGGAACTTTGCCACAGGTAAAAACTTATAGTCGTCATGTTCATGCTTGTGTCGGGGAGCCATGTTCCAGAACTCTGAAAAAGTTCTTTACTTCATCGTCTTCGTGATTCCGCGAGTGACGTTCTTTGCACTGAATCATGGTTTTACTTGAAACGGAGTTCGTTAAACGTTTGTCTGCATTTCCTCGTAGACATTTCTCTAAAATCCTGTTGAGCTTTGCGAGTGATGACCACGAGCAAACTTCTCCATCTTCTTAAATCTTCAACTTCTTTCTGAAAAGCTGTACTCGTGGTTATGTCATGTGTGACGCCCAAAATGCCATGAACTGCTTTAAATCTTGTCAGATCTCGTGGCTCAAACAAATTTTCCTTTGAATATCGTAACAAGCAGTTACCGCCAATCTCCCGTCTCAATAGACACGAAATTGCCGCTTCCCTACGCTGCAGGTGATAGATACCTTCTGTTGCATGTATCCCGTCCCTTAGATTCAGTTCTTTCCCATCTTGATGTAGAAAATTTCAATACCGTTTACGAAGTACAAGATATGAACTCATTCTGTCAATTGATTTCAAAAGGATACTTGCCACACAATCTGCAAGCATCAGAACCCCTACTCTTGCTCACGAATGTTTACGTTTATGTTGCAGACGTTTTGAATAAGTCTATGATCTACTTGTATCGGAATTTTTGAATTTCGATTTTGTGTTACAAAACGTTCACGAGCGGGTAGTTGAGTCCGTTGTAGTAAAACCTAAGCAGTTCGACTTGCATGAACTGTGCAGTTGTATTCTCACACGCAATATCAAATCCGGCTTTCTTATATCCACAATTGAACGCACCGTCTACCAAGTTGGCCAATCGAAACCTGTGTGAGACGCACTCATGAAGATAGATCCTCAAAATGGTCCCAAAATAGATTACGGTTACAGAAACAATAGCTTGAAAGGGGTAATTATCATTTATGATTGTTAGAGGAAAATTCCTGGGCCGTTTCATTGTGTATCCATCCACCATTTGAGCTGCTGCGAAATATTTTAGAACCAAAATTGGCCTCTCTGATCATCCCTTCTGCTCTGTGAGCATGCATGAGATTCGTACATTGAAACGCATGGGTCTTCGCGCAAGCAGACATTAAGGTTTTCACAGGATGTTTACATGGTTCGTTGATTGGATCAAAGAATCTTCGGAATTTCTCCAGTTCCCTCATACCATGTATCGGAGAACGAAGAGGAAGTTTAAGAGATGGTTCAGAAATAGAAAAATTCAACATACAATTTCGAATGCCATCATATAATCACTGTGTGTTACAATGTAGGATGTCAACAGTAAAGATATTGGCTTGTTTCGATGGAGCCAGCATTCACCACTTTCTCACGTTTTAATTCTTTAGAGTTCCAAATTTTAACCAAAGTCCACAAGTTCTAGAATAAAAGGTTCCGATCCCCGGGAGATTTGGCTAAGTTTAGAGTATTCTTCAATTACACAAACATCCGAGGCAAAAGGTTACAGCATGTGTATACTTGAGCGAACGCTATGGTAGCCTACAGAGAGAACAGTATCCCACGATCAAAATCTCAAAACCTAATCGTGAATGACCAGATTTGCATATTGACTACTCTATCTAAGCCAAATTTCCAGATCAAAAAGCCTAGTCGTCAATCGTTATGTGCTACTTAATTGTACAAGAGGAAAAATCATCTAAAATCATCACAGCTGCAATAGCCATAACCTGCAATAGCAGTAATTTATTGAGCCTGGGAACTGTACAGCAGACCCACAGGTTAAGTCAATTTTCTTTGTACAAAGACTGGATCACTAGATATTACACATGGAATGTATTGTCCCTGGTCCTTTTACTCCTTCAGTAAATCCATTCTAAATAATGGATTCAGTATCTATGCCTCATTTCAGTTCAAACCTGAAAAGCGACAACTTCACTCAATAACATTCTACACACCACCCTGAGATACTAATCGTACAATACACCACCCTTAGGTCCAAATCTCCGGATCTCCGAGCAGAGCACACGGAGAAAAGAATGTACTGGAACATCAACGACAACGGCTAAAGAAGTTGAATCAAAATAAATCCAAAGCTGTAAGGAAAGCAGGCTTTGTATCAGCAGCAAGACCTCTAATACCCATCACTCAATAATCGAGAGTTTATCGATTGCTGCGTGGAAACTTATTGTTCTTGACATTCATATCCAAATGGATGCCTTTTGGCCCAATTCCATTGGTCACGACAGATCTCCATTAGGCCAAACTTCGCTCTGAAAAGTCACATCATGGATCCCTGCGTTAGAAAATGTTTGCTTGTACCCAAACAGTCGCACACTAAAACTCTCAACAATGGAAGGAAGAGCAAAAAATATGATAAAAACCGGCTTACAAGCCCAGAATGAACAATATATAGGCAGACGTTCGTTCACAACACTCGATACTGACACACGTGAACATTTACTGGTTGAAAAAACAGAACAAATGAAAGCTGATTTTAAGTATCCTGGAGTTTCTGATAAATATGAAATTTAACTTGTACTTAAAAAATGGTGGAGGGAGAATCACCTCCAGCCAAGCTCCTCCTCAGCTTTCTTCGTTGCAGCATAAATCTCAGATGAGTCACCAGGACGCCGGACATCAAACTTGAGTGGAATTTTCTATAGCAGGATGTAAAAAAATAAAATGTCAATTTCCTTATTCATTTTGTCCTAGTATCAATCAGACTCAATCATTCTCAGGCCTCATATCAATACAAGTTTGTTATCGGTTACCTTCCCAGATGCTTTTTCAAAGGCTGACACCATCTCAAGCACAGTCGTTCCTCTCCCTGTTCCCAAATTGTAAATTGCACATCCTGCGTAACATAATCAACAAAATAATCAAGAGATGGAAATTGTTAAGAGCAGGTACCGGAAACATAAATAAAGTCATGTCCGTTGAGGTAGAAAGCATAAGACACAGAAATTCCAGTCACCTAATGAACGCAAACTAATACTAAAAGCCCGTTCACATGTCTCTATGGACCTGCTAAGCATTTGGTGGATGTGGAAGAAAGATAATCGACACCTATGTCCGGGGTTGTGAAGAGCTTATCCAAAGCTTTAGTATGCCCGCATGCCACATCCATGACATGGATGTAATCCCGAATCTGCAACCCCCGAGCAAGTTTTGGTACTCATATTCAGAATGCATGTGTCAGAGGAATGTTTTTTTTCCAACGTGAAAGAATATGATACGAAAACACAAATAATAGAGGTCGTCATTCAATACAGTATCAGATGACTACATTTCAAGTGAAGACAAATTACCCCAGTTCCATCTCGAGTATCGTAATCATGACCACACACAGAAAGGGTTTCTTTGCGACCCACTGCAACCTGTTGTACGAAAGGCATCAGATTATTTGGAAAACCCAAAGGATCTTCGCCTATCTCACCACTTGGATGACACCCTACCGGATTGAAGTACCGTAACAGTATAATCTTCCATTCTGGATCCGCATGTTGAACATCACGCATAATGTCTTCATTTATAAGCTGCACATGTTGAAATGTTATGATCAACCATTTCTGTGTCAATTCTAGTCTAAGGTTCAAACCTACACTGAAAAACCTTGAATATGGCATATGCGTCGAGCATTATGTGGAACACAAGGCTAGTAGTGACAAAAAACTAAGAACAGCCACGTCGATCAGTTGTCTATGGAGGTGAATTCTGATCACACACCGGATAGAAACTCGTGTCTAGGATGCATACCTTAGTTCGGCCATAAGGATTCGTGACGCTAAGTGGATATTCTTCTGTACATGGTACACTCTCTGGTTGCCCATACACTGTTGCTGAAGACGAGAACACAAGCTGCAATTGAGAGTTTCACGTATGTTGGGACTTCACAGTTAAGATGTTGATAATATCGGAATATATCGCCTGATTAAACTATCTAAAAACTTAACACGGTGTGATGATCTCAATTTATTCGGAATTGTAAAGTTCTCAATAATTCAACAGATCATATTTAAAACGAGAAGCTATCCCAACATTGTGATTCATGAAAATCTCATTTACATCACTTATTCAGAACTTCAAATCTGAGTTACACACTCGACCGACATAATAACAAAACCGATCATAAAGGATAGAGAGATGCGACTAAAGTGGAGAAAAACGAGTTTCTCACATTCTTGCATCTGTTCTCTGACATGACATTCATGAGATTTATGGTGCTAGTCAGATTATTTTTGTAGTAAAGTAAAGGCTTCGACGCGCTTTCTCCAACAGCCTTTAAACCTGCGAAGTGAATGACGGCCTCAAACCTGCCAAAATTGAATCGTAAGAAGTGAAATTTTCGAAAGCGTATCACATCTTGAACAATATGATTACAAAGGAACAGATATTGCAAACAAACACAAACAACGTAGAAATAAACGTGAACTGTAAAGGAGTGTATTTTTGCTTTTGTACCATCAATTGCTGCCTCCTCTTTCAACAAATATCCTATATACTAGTTGTATTCATAACACTTACAGCCTTACCGCTCTACTTAATGGTACCCCGCCGCAAACAACTTGAGTGTGGCATTCATATCAAACTGAGCACCTGAGTTCGACGTGTAAAAGAATATTAAATGTGTCTTTTCGCAGTGTACCTGTGAAGATTGAACACCTTTTGCACATCTTCGAGCTTACAAAGATCCCCCTGCATGTTCAGGTGCAATTCACAAAACTCAGTGCAGAGCTCTCACAAATGCACAAGGTGAATGGAAGAGTATAATATGACTTCAATACTATAATCATGATTGAATGTGAACTCACACGCACGGGTATACAACAATCTACAACGTCGCATACAAACAATTTTGATGCAGAGCAAAACATTTGAAGTAGCACAACACATTGTATGTATGTATGTATGTATATCAGACTTTATGATAGGAGTAAAATTTCTTCGTTACGTAAAAGTCCACGAATGCTTATTTATAGGAGAGAGTTCAAAATCATACAGCAGTTGCAAAGTTAACTTGTAAGAAGTGTGCTTCTGAAGACCGAAGGATACAACAAACGTATACACTCGAGCCACGATATCTTTCTGAAAAAGACTTAAAAAAAAAAAAAAAAAAAAAAAAAAAAAAAAAAAACCAAGAAGATCGACTTCTTTGCAATAGTAACAATAGATAATGAAATATATGACACACTGAGATGGTCCGTTGCATAATATTCCTCGTTAATCTACTACGGAAACACTACAGTCACGCAAAGACAGCGCACATACCATGATCACAATCATTTTGGGCCAACACCTGTACAGACCACAACTCTCTTCATCCGGACGTCCTTCAACAGCAATTTTCACGAGAATTGACTCTAGACATGACAGAAACAATCGAGTCGCCGCGGCTCCAAGCTCGCAGTGGCTCTACTTTCTCATAAAAACTCTCACAATCCATGAGAATGAAGAAGCTTATGCCAATAAAAACAAACCTTACAGAATTCTAAATTCCACCCGGCTTCACCTGCCAGCTTGAGCACACGATTCACAGCTTCCTCGCAGGAATTGACTAGATTGTCGATAATCATCACGCAGTAGCCCTCCAGCAGTAACTGCAACACGGTGTGAGTGCCGATGTAGCCAGCGCCTCCTGTCACCAAAATCCATCGCTGCTTCCTTTCATGCGCACTTCCATTGCACTCCGCAGAATCAAAGTCCTCCACCCGCCCCATCCTTCCCCCTGAGATACCGCGTCCCCTGGCCTGCGCGATGAATCGACAATCTTCAATAGTTTCTTCGACAGGAGCAACTCCAACTCCAACTCCAATCCAATATGAATAAAACACAGCAATCACTAGGACACTTTTTATGCACAGGAGGATTTTGCTGTTGTGCAAGTGAACTTGGCAGTTTCAATTGCGATGGCAATTTTACTCCCGAAAGAACTGTTCTGATTTTCATTTGGATTTTGAGATGCTACCTTGAGAATCCGGAGATCATCACAAGTGGCGCGCGTAACGCTTCAGAGAATTCGACCACTGGCGAGGCTACAGCTCACCATCCTAACAGGTTTTTCTCATACTGTCGTTCATCTCCTTTTGCATCGTCCATCGTTCGTTTCGTCCACAACAGATTTCCATCAAAAAAACGAAAAAATAAGGATAAAAACAGGAAGAAAACTCACACGCAGACAACAGCGAACACAAAATAGAAGAAATATTCTTCTGTGATTCTCTAATTTAATTTTTGTGTTGTGTAATTCTACTACTATTGAAGATTGTTTCACAAAACATTTTTGGACAACAATCATAAATTTGGCAATATTAAATATGTATATATGTGTATATATATATATATATATATATATACATATAATATTTGAGTACTTATAAATAATATGTGCATATAAATTACTTTAAATATATATAGTACCTATATTTTTATCCAAATATTAGATAGTATTAATGAATCTGATTTCTATTTTTTTAAAAAAAATTTAAGTAAATCATTGATTGCTTAACAAGAAGTACAATAAAATTTGTTATATATGTCATTGGTATATGTCTTTTGCATGTATACTATTCATGTTTGAATATATTATAATAACATCCCTCATTTTATGATATATTATTTTATTATTTTAATTCTTTTAAATAAATTAAACCTTGATATTGTATGTATTTATTTTTTTTTTGTTACTTTTTTTTCATCCTTCATTTGAGTTAATTTTTATTGTTAAAAATTAGATTGTAATAAACTTGAGTTTGAAATTTCCACTTTTGGTATTTTATTGGTTTATGATATAAATGCTACCACCTTTTGATTGATTTTTGACATTAAATTTATTTTTATTTATATTAGCATTTTAATTCCAATTGCCTTCTAAACATGGATTTTTAGGAAATAAAATAAATAAATTTGCATTAAATTATCAAATTTACTATCCAATAATCAACATTACTATCAAATATTTTATCTCTTTGATGTAAAAACGTATTAATTACAAACCAAATAATTTTTTAACAAACATGTATTATTAGAATCAAAATCAACCAATTTATATATTTTTAAAAGGAAAAATAAAAGTAAAATGTTTGCTAGCCAAAACACAATTAGAAAATTGTTGTCACTAGAATTGATACCTAATGGTACAAAATTTTAACCTTGTCTTTAAAGGACTACTTATAACATAAGACTTTATTGCTATGTTTATTGCCATAAAAAACATTATAAGATCATTCTGAAGGTACAAAAATTTGTTTATCTTATTGATGATGAACATATCAATTGTAATATGATTTCTTCAAAATCAAAATAATATTTAAAAATCTTATCAAACATTTAGAAGTTTCAAAATGTTAAAAAAACAAAAAAAATCACAAATTTGGAAATAAGACTACAATCAGGGCAATAAAATTGAATACAAAAGTTGATGTTACCTTCTTGTATAATTTACTAACGATATTGAGAGTTTGGTGATTTATACAAAACAAAGTTTATACAAGACAAAATACAATACCCACTCTTGAAATCTTCAATTTTATGAATCATTCTGTAAGAAGTACAAAATGATGGTTCAATTCAAAACACTACATAAACTGAGTTTTGAGCTTTGAGTATGCTTTATCATTTTCTGGTTTCTGTTGTAACTAAAATGGGTTAATCCCAAGACTACATCATCATATGACAAATCGACTTGGTTCACATAACCAGAGAAATAAACTAAGAAAGAAGTTAATCAAACTCACATATATCATGCAACTCATAAACAGAAGCACCATTGGCTTGATTGCACAACTGAATTAATCACTTCAAATGATCTAGTCAGATGCTGGTTCAATCGTCCTACTTCATCACAAACTTCTAAACCCAAGGACATGCACCAAAACTGAATTGGGGATTTTTAGCAAACATCTAATTGACATTAAGTTAGCCCAAAAAATGGTAGTGCACAATGTATCCAATTACCAAACTCGAGCAGAGACTGAACTAGAAGAGTGCAAGTTGTCATCAAAACCTAAAGAGCTGTTACCCTTGAAACAATATTTGAACTATGTACAGTACCTTCTGTCTGTAAAAACATGATACTCCATCTGCTTCACGTGATCCTTCGAAAAATCTAGTGTTTCGACCAAGTGTTACAAGACACCTAAGCTCTGGTAGTTACAACCTTAATGACGCCAATCTGATGAGAAGAACATAAGTGCTTGTTTTTGCCAGAGTAAAATTTAAGATTCAGCATTCTATATAAAAGGCAATAAATATGCATATGATTTGTCAAAACACGATATTGCTGTGCATATATCTGGGATATTGTTTCCAGTGAGACAACCTGAGAAGTACTTGGTGATGTTGTATACCTTATCTGGCATGCTTCAAGGTCAAGCCCTCCGAATCAAAACATTCCAACAAGCTACTGCAGAGGCTATCAAAAGGAAAGCCATGAACAATCAATAGATCTGGAAACACGTCTGGAGGTACAACAATTTGGGAAACATCAGCTTGTTGGATATTATGTCTCTTGGTGGACATGGGAAAGATAAATCTCCTCACTCAAAGTATCTAACTTAGAGCACATGACTAACATTAGATTAGGCAATTTTTTCTTTGAAGCCCCTTCAGTGTAGACTTTGGATTGAATTCACAGTATATGAATTTCTCATTTAACAATCGAAGAGAAGCTCCTCGACTACCATTTTCAACATAAAATTTGACAAATCGAAGAGAAGTGTAGACAGATTATCTAAAGGGAAAGGAAGTATGGCAAGTTGAGTCAACATTGCGCCGCAGGCAACACATTGGATTACAATGCCACTCTCAAAAGTCCTGTGTTAAGCAATATACAGGAACTTGCTCCAGAGTCGATGGAAAGCAAAATTAACGATGCCCAAGCTCAGAATTGCGTACAGCTAATCTCATTTTGAAATAGGGACAAATGATCTCTCTACGAAGGCCAAAAGAATACACAGATATTACTCCATTCAAAAAATGACAACGTAATTGCTATCTCCTCCAGCAAGTGCACGGAACCAGTGGAGCTATGTCGCTCCCTAAAGGATTCATAGGCCCGTCCTCTCATTGTAAATTCGTCCATAGAGATTTTGTGAGATAAAAAGATTAACAGCATCCTTGAGTAACTGCAGAACCGAGTATGATCCCTTCAACATCTATATGAAGATCCGCTACAATAAATGCCGATGAATTGCACGAGTAATGAAACCAAAGCTTCAAGTTCTCGTAAACTTGGCAAGTTGAAACAATGAGGTCTCATGTAGCCTCCTTGCATCAGTAACGAACTGAATCATCGTAGCATTGTGCAAATGCCTCGACTTCTAGCTCCGTCGTAGACAACTCCTACTTCCATCATCTGATTCAAAGCAACATCAATCGAAATAACCTATGATGGAATACCTGCAGTCTGTTCATGAAATCGAAGCTCAATCCAGCATGCTAAATTGAGACCTCGTGGTTATCACTCAAATGTCAAGACAATTGAGTTTCAACATAGGACTAACACTTAGAGTGCTCCGAAGTCCATCAAACATTGCCCACCTGCAGACAACCCAGTTGTAACTCTGGCGAGATGGGTAAACCCCAAACCTACAACGTCATTGACAACCCTTAGCTACTACCAAAGGTGCTTTCCGTTTTAACAAAAATCAAAACATTCTGCCGGAACTGGCCACGGAAATCAGCAACCTCCAAATTTGAGACCTCATAACACCCAACTATTCTCTTCGAATCCTCAGTGTTCCAAAAACCGAGAGATTTTGGTCGCAACTTCCAAGTAACGCATCCCATTCATGCTAAAATTAGGAGTTTCCATAATTGCAAAGTCGGTTGTGCAAACCCATCAGTTACAAAGGTAGCCCTAACGAAGAAGGATCGGCGAGCACCGTTGCTTCTAAATCCTAATTATCAAACAACCTCCTGCAATTAGGGTTTTCTTTCAACAACAACAACAACAAAAAAATAAAAAATAAAAAAATATACAGCAAGTCACAAACATGAAATTTTCCGTAAATTTCATGTTCTACATAAAAAATTACGGTTTTTGAAAAGGTTTTCCTCCCTAAAAGTATATCGTACATACTCCTTGTTTGTACCTTGAAAACTTCATATTGTTTTAGTTAGGTATATTTAGGGGCAATATTTTTATCAATAAGCAAAGCAGCGATCTCACATGTTACTATTAATGACCACCTCATCACAATACCATTCTTACTTTTTATGTTTAAAACTAATATATGGCTTAAGAATAAGTATAACTTACAAAAATTTGAAAAAACATTCCTATGATGTTGTAATTTCTATAAATTTTGATCAATGTCTGGAAAGTAGAACACAATGGTGATCAAGTGAAAAAAATATATATATCAATAACAATTACTCTGTTATTGTAACAATATTAATTTTTTATGTGACTTTTTTTTAATTAATTTTTTTGTTGCACAAGCTCACATGTATATACTGTAAGTAAAAATATATATTATTTTTACATGTTACTAAAAATGTGTAATTCATTTTGAAATAAAATTATATAATTAATTATATTATTATAATACAACATTACATATTTAATATATAATTATTTTTTATTTAAAAATAAAAATAAAAATAAAAATAATGATAAATTTTTAAAATATCAAGATATTCTAAATAGCCATATACATGTATTATAAGGTTTAAAGAATATAAAGTAAACATATTCAAAAAAAAAAAAAAAAAAAAAAAAAAAAATCCAACAAGACTAAATAAACTTTAATTTTTTTCTCTATTTATCATACATAAAATAGTAGAAGTTTATATTTAATATCATCAATAATATCTTATGTAAAATTTTAAAATAATTTTTATAAGATATTTATCATAGATACACTATATGGAAGATCAAACAAGAAGTTAAACAAAAGAGTTTCAACAAAGAAGCTACCAAAAAC